ATCTATTTTACGACGGTTGTTATAAGGTTCAATATTCAGTGGGCTGTATGATAGTAATGAAAAGAATGTGACGAATGCTATGGAACGATTTTAACTTTCATGACCTTTAGAATCAGGGAAACTTTAAATTAATTGAAGATGGGCGTAAATATAATATGTCAATCAAGTTCGAAAGCAGTTAAATAAATTTGTTAATGAAAAATTAAAGTGAAGTGAATAAACATGTTGAATAGAAAGAAATTATGACAATTTCTAACCACAAAACAATAACATCACTTCACCGTATGTTCTAGACAGCATTTTAATATTCTTAAAAAAATTAAACATTATTTTATGTTAATTTTAATAAAGGCAGAGTTTGACAGGCTCAATAATTGATTCCGAAATCAATACAATCACTGATCCTACAAGGCAGAAGGTTGCAATTCGTATACCTTTCTCCATCTTTTCTTCACAATATTTTACGCCCATCCTTATCCGACTTGAAAGTCTTTTCGTCGCTCAATATGATTACACTGTTCGCCCAATCAAAGTAATAAAGTCCTGAGCAAATTCTTAGCGCTTTTGCTGGTGAACCACAGATAACAATATTTTCTTCTCTGGCTTCCTGCACCTTAAACCAGAATGCAGGTGTCTCCGTACAGTTTGTATTAAAACATTCAGTGCTGTCGCTGTAGTGCGGGTTGGCAGGAACGGATCAGCCATGTGCCTGGCTACGATGTCGTAGTGCCGAGCCGATGAATTTGCCTTTGGTTTAGGCCCACGTCGACGATGTTTAACGTCACCGGTCTCCGCATATCTGTGCACCCATAACTGCATGGATCTCCTCTGTTGATACCAAACAAATAAGTATTTAAAATACCAGGAAATACTTTACAGGAATTAAAGTTATTTAAAAATAATAATAAATATAAGTAAACACAATGTTAGAATAATAATTTATAATTAAGTAGTGGCGTAAGGAATAAAAATCCCTAACCAGATATGTTTTAAAGAAACACTCCTAACAAAAACAAGTCAAGTTACAATACAATTAATAATAAATTATTAATATATCTTTATAATATTGAACTTCATAATAAGTTGCAATAATTATTTTATTCTAGTGCAAAAATTGATAGTGTGTCGAGTTACAAAATGAAATAAATATTATTTAGAATATCAACGTAGTATCTTATTTACTCACCGATATCATTAAACGCCTTGCTATTTCAGTTATTGTTAGTTATGTTTTGCTCATGCAAAACAATGGTTTCAGCCTTTTTAAATGTTGATAGGTGTTGGAACATCTTGTAAAAATAAAAATAACTTTGCACACGAATATAAGTAGTGTAGCAATAAACTATGAAATCCTCATAAATTGACAACTAAGAACGCAATTATTTTGTAAGTCGGGTGATTTGAAAAACATGTTTTAAATAGTCGGTAGTTACTTCATAAGCGTGTAAAATAAAATGACTCGAGATTTCTATGGTCGCCACAAACATTGCAAATATACTCAGGTATCGAACCATTAAGAAATCACAGTTAATTACTTTTTTACTGTTTTTATCTTATTTAAGTTGGTTGAAATGCATGAAGCAAATGAGATTATTCTAAATAATAAATAACTAGAACTAAAATATAAATAAAAGATATTATAGGTATAAATAAATCTAAAGTATTTACTATTAAAATTAACATAAGATTTAGAACAATAGGAAAGGAAAAAAAAGAAAAGATTTAATTGTTTCTAATTTCAAATATTTGATAAATTAATTCTAAAACAACATGTGAACGTTGGAATCGATCCGGCGGCACTTTACTTGACAATTGGAGGCGATAACCATTGCGCCAAGCGTGCTGTAGATGAGATCATCGAAATATTATTTATATCAGTAACATAAAATTACAATGAGAAAGCACTATATTTATATGGGTATTGTATAGCTCGATCGTTCATTATTTTTGATTTCGATTTATTCAAAGTTTGTTATGAGTAATTTTATCTTTACCCTCGTTTTTATTTTAACTTATTTACTAAATTATTGCGTATACCGACACAAAAATGATTTTTAAATACCAAGATGTGTGTGATAGACGAATGTTTCTATACATATCTATTGATATGAAATTACCCACACATGTATATTGTGTAAATGATAGTTGTGTCGATGTGTAGCGCCGCTAACTAATTAGCGGTGCTTTGTGTACATTGTCATATTCGCTTTTTAATTTTAACTTAGCAGATTTTGATAACCTGGTTTTCAATACAAATGTTATTAGTAACTTTTTCTGTGTAGTATCTACTAAATATTCATTATACATCTCAATTCCATCTATAATTTTTTCAATAGTTTGTTCTGAATTATCCATTACTGGTATTAAAGAAGTAGCGGTTTTTATATCGAATTTCTCCATGTTTGTTACAGTTGTATTTTCCTCGCAATTACTAGTTTTATAAGTCAAAATCCGTTTATATGTTAACTCTATACGTTCTTTTAATATATCATGCACATATTCTGCAAGTTCTACTGAAGTTTCTTTAGTTTTAAAACTACTAATGATATCTTTATATGTTAGAAATAACTTTTCAGCTTGTAAAAATTTTTCATTTATATTACCTGCATATTGTACTCGTCTAGTAGGGCCCAATTTTCTTAGATTAATTTGAATATCATTCAACTTACTTAAAATAATTTCTAAGTTTTGTTCCATATAACTATTTCACTTAAAAATATAGTTCATTTTTCCATTGATTGAAAACCGTATTTCCATTGATTCACGCATATTTCTCATAGACGCAGAGAGCACCGTAGCACCGAGCACCCCTTCAAACTGGTTCAGCTTCTTCATCCGGTCTGCCAAATCTTCCCGAGAGTCTCTGTCGCATACGCCTTATAAATTCAAAGTGCATCTTTCTTTCCATCCATTTGCGTTCATTTTTCTTCCATTTCTGACATCCGAAGTATATAACAGCCATAATACCAATAGTCAAGGCCGCTGCTAAGAGTAAGTTGGTCGTCATCATGTGGTGCTGGACCTCGATGTCCTCGTAAATCGTTGCTTTATTGGGTCCTGCTGCATTTTGGTTCAGAGTGAGTTCTTTGTCTTCGGTTTTAGAGTATGATTTTCCCATTTTACGGAGTATAAGTACAAAAGGAATTTGAGTACGGTAAGTTCAAGTTTTGATGTCACTGAGTCTGATCACACACAATCTTGATGCAGCAAAATTTTTGGAAGTGGAAAGTTAGCATTAAGTAGAAATAAAACCACTTTGCACACTATTGTTCTTGGCGAAAATCACTTTGCACACTTGTACTTGTTCTTGGCGAAGCGTTATTCAATTGTTCAAAATCGGTGCACCGAGGCACACAAGAATCCGCGGCGTCAGCGTTCGCCGGCCACCCGACACTCGCCCACGCCATGGCAAGGCAGGGTCGCCATGAGGTGTGGGGAGCTAGTGTAAAATAAAACAATACGTCTGTCTCGTTTCACGGTGCTCTTTAATCTGACCCACTAACTACTAACTACAATAAGGTATACCCCACTTCATATCTTTACAAAGATATTGTAAGAGGATGTAAAACAAGTGAAACAAGTGAATTTATTTCTGCAAATAGGCTGCAAGGCAGCACTTTTATACGTCAATTTTATCAAGCGAACGATGAGGTCGACATTTCCTAACTGACTACTCTGAGAAGAAATGCCGAAACAAACTCAGAGGTCTGTCTCTTTTAAAGTCCAGACAATATGTATAATAGATTATGTGTGAGAACCGTGCAAGTTCTTTCTGTAGTGGCCTTTTGAGGAAAGAACCACAACAGTTTGAGCGGACCCGTTCTGAAGGCAGTACGCATGTGTCGGTTTACAGTCGGCTCAATTAACAGGTGAGGCTGACTGATTCGACGAACAATACCGACCTAAAGAACATTTGCGTGGATCGCACAAATACTCAAACTGTCAGAATATGACCATCAGGATGGTTGACACTTCAGGTGATCGAAGGGCTGGCTACTACCTTGGGTAAAGGTTAAGCATTGTCATTCAAAGTGGCAATCTGCCAGTCTTTTGGGCACCCTACCTCTGGATAACGATTAGGATTTTTTTTTATGCCTCAACATTTATTATTATTATTCTTTTTAAGGTAATTTGAAGGTGTAAATATTTTAGTTTTTTGTATTTATAATATAGTACCAGTATGAGTCGACATTGAATATTTATATATTTCTGTTTATAAAGATTCAAATAAAAAGTTTTCAACGGTTCATCATTCTCTTATTTACATATCTGGGAAATAATTTAATAAAATCTATTTAACATTATGCCTTATTGCCCGACTATCCATTTAGAGATAGAACTAAACCAATATTATAAGTCCACATCCTATAACAATAGTCCACTTCAAGACTTTGGTCATTAAACTGTCAAATACCGCAACCTATTGTTCTTTAATTGTGTCTATAAATACGGTACTCGACGAGTTAAAACTTCCTAAACATAATTTCTTCTTCTTCTTTTTTTATACATTGCCCCACACTAGGATTATCTCCTGTCGTCGTGGGTGCGTTTACAAACATACAAGTTCACAATACACATGACACCCAGACCCGAAACAACAATTTGTGGATCACACAAAGTGTTGTTCCGTGCGGGAATCGAACCCGCGACACGTTGCACGGCAGCTGGTTCCCCAGCCACCGCACCAACCGTGCAGTCAGATTTCTAGTCAAGTCAGATAATAAATAAATAAATAAATAATAATCTTTATTGTACACCAATTTGAGACAGTATATACAGGAACAAATAAAGAAAATAGGGTACAAAGGCGGCCTTATCGCTAAAAGCGATATCTACCAGGCAACCTTTATGGGTTATGAAAACATATTATAGAAAAAATATTATTTTCAACAATAAATATTATTTTTAGTAATATTTAGTTTTAATTTTTTTTTAAGTAATAGTTAGTTTTTAATTTAAGTTTTTTATTTTAATAAATGACATTGGTACTTTTTCAACAGAAATCAACAGACGTAGGTACAGGCGACATCACGCTCCCGGAGGATCTCGGCCGCGAGTGCGCGCAGCGGTTACTGGACGAGGTGTACCGCGCCGGCGCCGTCGACTCGTCCTTCCAGTGGCTGCTCGCTCTGTGGATGGCGCTCGGACAGAAGGATGTCAGCGAATGTGTTGTAAGTTTATTATTTTTAAACAATATTCTTCTTGGATTTATACGTATTATGTCGCCTTTTATTCCTTGAAGGGTTATGAAAAAATCCACATGTTAAACGTAACAACCACCGTTTTCTAGTTATACCTAAGTTCCCTGTTATTTAATAACAGGGAAAAATTTGCAATAAAGTCACAATCAAGTTACTACTGAAAAAAATCTCCTGTAAAATGACTCTTAGGCTGTTAGGTTTGATTTTCGAATGAAGCAATGAGCCATGCTTCGGCACGAATGGGCCGGCTCGACCGGAGTGATACCACGGTCGAACAGAAAACCGACGTGAAGCAACGTTTGCGTTGTGTTTCGTCGTGTAAATGAGGTTATCGGAGGCCCAATTATCCTCCTCAATTTCCCCAATCCCTGAATCTCCAATAATCCTCAAATTCCTAATCCCTAAAAGGCTGGTAACGCACTTGCATACCTTTGGTGTTCCGGGTGTCCATGAGTGACGCCGATTGCTTACCATCAGGTGATCCGTGTGCTCGTTTACCGGCTTATCCTATAAAAAACATAGCTAAATTATAAATATTGATTTCCAGGTGGGTCCACTCTCAGACTACACGATAACATTCCTGCAACACCTCAAAGAGTTCTTCGGCGTGATGTTCAAGTTGGAGGTGCAGCGCTCTGAGTCTGATGATGAAGATTCCGATGATGAGGGCGTCACACCCGCCAGCAAGATCAAGATGACATGCGTCGGTATAGGATATGTTAATATTAGCAAACGGACATTGTAATTATTGTAAATAAATCTAGTTTTAAGAATTCCAAGTTTATTTTTCATCTATTTATTAATCACACCCGAATCGGACCACGTAAACGCCCAATGTGTAGAGCCGCTACACAAGTTACCTATGGAGTTTCTTGCTCGTTCTTCTCCATAGGAATCTACACTTTGGATTGAGCAAATAGCTTCACTTTAAATTTTCTTTTTGTTGACGTTCAAAAGTGCCATTCTGGCCTAATTGAAATAAATTATTTTGACTTTGACTTTGAATGCATTGTCTCGCGTGGATCCACCTTTAGGTACACGACGGGTTAAATATCTCTCAAAATCAAAAGGTCCTAGCTAAACACTAATGATTTTGTTTTTTCATTACCAACTTTGAGTACGTCATTTCTATAAAGATATATTGCTAAGGCAAAGGGTAGGAGCTAGTGAAAAAATATTTTAATAGTATTCATAGTCCCACAAATTTTATACGTTATATTTGTTCCGAGGTACTAGGACTACACAACATAACTTATGAAATTGCTGTTTTGTATGAAAAAAAAATGTTGTTGTTTATTTGTTTTAATCGAAGTAAGCCCTTCTTAAAGAAATCAGCTGGACGGGAGGCAACAAATTCTTCAAAGGCATTTTGTACTGCCTCCCGGGCAGGGCCTATTGATTTTTTTCCCACAAGAACTTATCCAAATTCTAGAAAAAGTACCAGTCTGTCGGCGCAAGGTCTGCTGGTGAGTAGGGCGGGTGAGGGGAAGCTTCCAATCCCAGGTCTTGCAACTTGGAGACCGTTTACTGTGCAGTAGGTCGCGCGTTGTCGTGCAGGAGCAGCGAAGACGAGACCAATTGACCAATGCTGGTTGGAGATGTGCCAGCTTCTCCATCATTATTCTCCACAGTACACATCTGCAGTAATACTCACCCCGTTTGGTAAGAAGATGTGATGAATGAATGCTAGATAGTGACCATCATTTTTTAAGGAGTAAGTTTTCGTTTATGGCATTGTTTAGTTGCTGAACCAAAATATAATCAACTTGCTGAACGCTTGCGGAATTTGTCAAGCTTTTTTACCGACTTCAAAAAAAGGAGGAGGTACTGTTCGGCTGATTGTTTTCTTTTATCTTGCCGGTTTGACGCCAATGGACCAGTATCGTTTTGACGCTAACGTCGAAAGCTGCTGCTAATTCCACCGTAGAATACTTATGTATCATCAGCTTCTACAATCGCCTTTAATTCGTCATTGTCGACCAAAAGTCTACGGACGACCGCGAGGTTCAGTGGAAATTTCCAGTTCGGAAGCGACCAAACCAATAACAGTTGGTGCGTTGGTTTGTTGGTTAGCTTCGTAAACGTCGTTGGCGTTTGCGTTACGTAGCGTGCCGCGTTGCTGCCACGGTGGTTCATATTCCATAATTACTTGAATTTTTAACGTATCCATGATGACCAAAAAGATTGAAATGCGATTAAAATGTAACACTAATTAATAAACAAATGATTAAATTCAGAACAAAATTCCATGTTTTTAAAATAAATTAATTTGAAATTAGAATTCTTAGCCATACAAAAATGATTTTGATTTGAATGAAATTGCTATTCTGCGGTAGATACTCTATAGAACGGCAATTTCATAGGTAAAGACCTAAAGGGTGTCCCTGAAGTCGACGATTAATTCGCTCGACAAGGTTACAACAGTTATCAGAAAAATTTACACTTTTGAATACACTTCTTTCTGTGTTATGGCAGTCCCGGTACTTCGGAATAAACAGGTGAATTTTATCGATAAACTGATTTTAGTGACACTTCATGTGCCTACTAGAGAAATTGTTTATTCCCTTTTTCCAAATAATTTGTTAGCAAAATATGATTACTTATTTTCTTATATTTAGGTTCGGTCCTGTATAGAGAACTACTCTCATCTTTGGTGCGGCTTGGCTAAATGTCAGCTGGACGCTTTAGAGCTGGCTCATCAACGATGATGCGCTTGTGAAGGCCTGGCTTCAAAGCCTCGAACACAGGCGTAAGGTTGCAAGCCTTTCGGTTTTCTACCGGATACAATTTGGTGAGTGAGCGGGGAAATTATACAACTTGATTCTCCCTAGTTCTTTCCATCATCGTACCACAAGACAATTGGCTAAGTGTCACCGATTCATGGTAGATGTCCCACACGCACGAAGCGCTTCGCAACAAGCTTCGTTGTGCGTACTGCTAAGGAGTGGAATTCTTTGCCAGAGTTTGCTTATGGAACGACGTGCTCCATTGTATACTGCATCATCGCTTACCACCAGGCGAGATAGAGATAAAATGTCGGCCCATAAAATATAAAAAAATATTCAATTGATAGATAACTTCGATTCACAGCATCCTGGTGGGCAGAGGAAGGGTGAGTTCCCGTTGACTCACCTCAGTGAGTGCTAGGTATTGTAGCAGTACTATGTAAAATGCAGTCAGAGGACGTTTCGTGTCTCATTTTCATTTAAGTGCCTAAAGCGTGTAATTACAGACGGGGGAAAGACAGGAAAACCTGCCGATCAAAGATTTCTTGTTTCAACTGTTTAAATGCAGCGATATGAGACACAGTGTCTCGCGTTGTAGACACATTAAAGGTTAATATTTCCAGCAGGAGACAGGGGAGTGAAAGAGAGAGGGGAGGGAGCCGAGACATAGAGATAATAAAATACCACAGTAAAATTACAATATTTTTTATTTGTCTCAATAAACTTAAAACTAAAATTGTAAAATAATTAAGGCACATTCTGAAATGTATGTAATTCCACCACAGCGGTACATTCAGGATCTCGCTCTGCCTTACACACGTTTACGAACTAACATAAGAGTATATTTTATTGGCAGTGTTCGTAAGAATCGATACAAAAGTACCATAAAATTGACTTAGAATTATAATTACAAGGAGTAATGTGAATTTTCGTATAAAGACGGAGAATAATTTTATAAAAGTAAAATTAAAAGTATTTATTTTGACTTCGATAAATTTGTAAATGTCAAATTATACTTGTCAAAATAAAATTGACGTATACAAAAATAACTTGTTGATGAAGATCATTAACTTGCTTAGGTACACTCCTTCCCTAAAATATTTTATTTATAAGATTTAATTTATTTTTGTTCAGTCATCGCTACAGAATATAATATCACATTGATTTTACAAAATTTCGATATCTTATAATATTGTGACCATTAACAAATACATAAATAAAATTATATTAAAATATTATAGACTGAAATTATAAGAAAACTGAAAAATTAAGTTAAAAACTACAATTTTATATTTACACACATTAATTAGATTAGTTGAACTTTTTTGGGACATATTTGAAGTTGCAGGAATCCTATTCATAGGTACAGATTCTACAAACGAAAAAAAAAAAAATTAAAAAGTCAGAAGCATAGAACATGGTGTTGACTGTCCCTACAAAATAATCAAATTCCTCGAACGCTACTAAACGTTTAATTTTTCAATTTGTTCCTAATTCATTCTTTTCTATTTTTTTCCTTCTTCTATTTTCAGACATCTTTCTCGTCACACCCAAGTCCTGCCGACCAGTTACAGATTCCTCCGACGGGATCGAAGCTCAACCCTTTAGGACAGATGTACTCCCAGCCTAATAATGAGCCATTCTCGATACGAGCGCATGAGATGAATTTCTTGCACGATTTAGGATGAGGGAAGTTACCGATGTCCAGACACTCGATGCGGCCTGTGAAGAAGAAATAAGTAAGATTAAGAAAATTAAATAAAAAAACATTCCCCTGGTTTGAGCTATGCTTTATGTTAGTGGTTAGTGTGCCTAATGCGCACTAGCCTGGCATGAAGCATTACTATTTCTGAATCACATAATGAGAAGATCACATATGATAACTTGGCGCACAAAACCCGATCATCCAAGCAGTGTTTATTATGCAGTCACAATGCTACATTGTGCGGGGTACACCAAATCTTTCACAGTAGCTTTAACATGATTATTACCTACACACAAACTTTTTCTGTAAATCTCCATCATACCTATTTCGCTACTAAAATAACAAAAACTCACCATCTTCTCTCATCACGATCTTAGTTCCTTCAACATATTTGACAGCGACCTTCTCATCGCTGTCATCGTAGTAGTCATAGTTTGCGATCGGTCTGTACGTCTTCTTTGGTCCCTTGGGGATCTTCTCGAATGGTGCTTTGGATGGTACCCTTCGTGGTACAGGAGTGGAAGATGGTGCTGGTGGGTCTGTCGGCCGGAGGGTGGTCGAGATCTTACGTTGGAGCTTCTTTCTGATCACCCTTCTAGTTGGCTGGGTAGCTGGCGTCTGTGGTGTGGTGACTGGTGATAAGTATTGGTATTCCGCTGTGAAAGAGATAAAGGATTTAGGAAAAGACGAAAATTATGGCAAAAAGTAACTGTCATTAATTCATTTGCAGGATTTTAAATAGCTCTGGTCGAATGGGTCTCATGGTTTTCCTAAGTGAATTCCTACCTAATCAAAAATTATACACTCACCGTCGTAAGTCTTGGTAACAGGCGACTCCAGGAGGTATTCCCTGGTGAAGTACGAGGGCTCCTGACTGGATCCAGTGTAACCAACTGTGGAGTAGCCAGTGTCCACAGGAACTGGTATCAGCTTCTCAGTTCTGTACCTTGGAGTGGAAGACCTTTGGACTCCTGTGTACCCTGTAGAAGCATCTGTCGAAGACGGAAGGTATCTAGATCCACCTCTTGAGAATTTCGTCGTAGCAGTCGACTTTGGAATGAAAGCGCTAGAACTTCTTGGCGAGTTATCTGTCGGTGTGTCTGCGAAGGTAGTTCTCTCAAAGTATCTCGTGGGAGAAGGAGGAGCTAAAGATGTAGAAATCTTGGGAGCACTCAATTCAGTGGGAGCTGCGAAAGGATTTAGTGACGACTGCACATATTCTTGGCTTATTGTGTTCTGGTAGTCTGTTGAAGGGAATTTCGGTACATACGTTGGGGAAGTCTTTGACACAAACTCTGTCGAAGTGTCCAAATACGTGTTTACTGTTTCTGTATTTGATGGGAAGTTGGTCGCAGTTGCTTTAGGAAGGTAGGTAGAAATCTTAGAGTCGTAGTCACTACGTGTGTCGTACACGTCTCCGATTGTCGTTCTACCAAAGTCTTGATTCGTCACTGTGTTGGGGAAGTTAGTAGACGAAGACCTTGGACCGTAACTTGTAGGGGTCACTTTAGAATCGTAAGCAGAAGTTATACTGTAATCATTTGCGTTTGTTCTTACAAAGCCAAGATTTGCTGTGTTAGCAGTGTTCACTGTATTAGGGAATGCAGTTGTCTTCGGGACGTCAAATGTGTTGGTAGAAAGTTTAGGGGCTTCGAAAACTGAAGTGTAAGGTTCGTCAGAAGTAGTTTGAGCAAAGTCAGTCTTGTAATACACTGTAGAAGTGGTTGGTGCCTTCTGAGTCTCGAAGTCACTTGATACTTTCGTTGCTTCGAAGTCTACAGGGTTCTTGTAGCCTGTTGTTTGATCATATGAGTTCCCAAGGGTGCTCTTGTAGTTTGGCGTGCTTTGGAAGTCATCATAAGTTGGTGTTCTACTAATATCGGTGTACTCATTGTATTCCCGACTTGTGTATTTGTATTCTACGGTGGTTTGTGTCTTTCTTGTTGGTTTGATTTCCTCTTCGAAATCTGGTATGCTTGGTATAGGTGCAGTGATAAGTTGGTGAGCTGCTATCGCTAGAGCGGTTTCAGCACTGTAATCTGAAAGAAGATTTATATCTTCAGTAAGGGATGGTGCTGAAGTTAGGTAAGTAAGTGAGAGATAAAAAAGAGAAGGTGATGTGAGAAGTTAGTGCTGTTAGTTTTGTCAGGTTTCTAGAAGTTCTTATTTCGTTAGTAATTAAGCAGTCGAAGTCGTCACTACTTTACATAAAGCTACATACTGCCTGTTCGATCTTTTGTGTTATTAGGATAAATACTATGAAGTTCTATCTGTCAACAATACATTATTGTGAAAGATCTAATTAGAAGTTTTCATCATTCCACTTACCATCAGCAGTACTCTTCGTCTCCGTGGTGGTCTCCTCCTGATTCTTCTGTTTCAGCAAGTCGTTTAGCTGGTTCTGCTTGATGGACGCGCTGTACTTCTTACTCTGTCTCTTGTTCTCTTCTTCGTTCGTGGCTGATGGGTTCTGGTCTTTCACTTGTTCTCTCAAATTGACCAGAGGTCGTCTCTGGATTTTGGTGGACTTCATTGGTTCTCTTGGCACGAGAGTTAGGTCTTCGATAGAGTCTGTTAGTGAATAAATATGTTAATCAAGATTTTGTCTTTGATGGACAGGAAAAAATAGAATGGTATTTATTAATATTATTCTAGCGGTCTTTATAAAGTTTGTCTGTAGATTCGCAAGTTATTAATAGACGATGTTTGGAAGTTTGGAAGTAATTTTCAAAATCAAATGCTCAAAGGCAAATAAGTGCAAAACGTGTAAATAATTCTCATTTACCGATATCACCAATATCCTGTAGCGACTCTTCATCTTCATAAGCGTTGGTAACAGCTTCAGGAGCAGCTGCAGTTGGAGTTTCAGTGGTAGAAGTGGTAGTAGGAGCAGGGGTCGTGGTAGTGGTAGTGGTAGTAGTAGGAACTCCGATACGACGTCTGCTGGCGACACGGAATGGCCGCCTGGTAACTACTGTCGATGATAGTGTTGATACAGGCGCTGCTGCTGTTGATGAAGCTGAAGGTGTTGTTGCTGTTGCTGCAAAGAATAATATTACGTTATTTTTAAAATCTAAATCTGCATAATAGAATGCTGAAGATAACATTATGTTTTATGCACCGAAGGAGTCCGTTCCGTTCCGTCTAATAAGGGTGGTAAGAATTTTTAGGTTGAAGTTGATCACCTGTTACTGTTCGTCTACAAGGTCGATAGAATCAATCATTATTTTATTAACAAGATCAATTGTATCGGTCAAAAATCTAGTTCACAGTTATAGCTAGTTCTCTGAATATATAGCACTCAACTAATATACAAAACTGACGTCTATTTCCCACCGGGGTAGGCAGAAACTGAAAAACCAATTGCTATTATCACTCAACTACCTCATAATTGATTACTAGGTAAGAAGTCTGTATTTCCATTGCTCGACAATTACAAAGCAAACAATACAAGAGTACAGCCAGAATTTGAAGCTCTACTAATCACAATTTAATCTAGCGTCATAATCACAAGTGATGCATGCAATATACACTTTGCACCAAGGTCGGATATGTTCCAACAAGTGCGGCTATTGTTTGGGATCAAGCCGTGAAATGGCCGGACGTAGGCGCCGGCTTAAGAGACGAGGTACAATGTATGAATGTATCGTTTCTATTGATGCTGTGTCGGGTAGTGTCTGCATCGACTTTGATGAGGCTTTTGTTCCAAGTTTTTTATTTGGTATAATAGTGTACATTATTTTGTTTTTGACTGGCTCGTTGGCCGAGTGGTCGCAAGTGGGCAGGGCCGGCGGCAAGGGGGCTCATTTTTTTTAAAACCCGGTAATATTTTGCCCGACCCCGATATCTGACCCGAGACCTCTTGTTCAGCAGTCGCACTTGCGACCACTCGTACCATGTCTTGCCAATACATTCTTTGTACATAATTTATCTATCCACGTACTAAGTACCTCTTTAAGTTAAATCGACTCATCACAACTTCAATAGGATCGTGACTAAATGTCAGGAGATAAGGATCACAATGTCCACATCATTAGCATTGTCATCAGATACAAATAAGACTCCAATAATGTAATTACGTAACCTGCACTCTAACACGACTTCGTACGAAGACAGTGATTAATTTCCTTTGATGTTGACTTCGTTATTTATTGAGATTATTAGGTTCTAAGAGAAAGGTGGCCTGGTCTGATATGTTAGTTGCTTGTAGGAGATGAACTGATTTAATTTATACGACATGCAAAACTTTAGAGTAGATTTTTTGAAATAATAATGAATGCTACCTTTCGGCCTAGGTACTAATTAAACATCTCTGTTTCAATGTCAAAAGTCAATTATAACCCAAAGATTTGGAATAAAAATTTAATAATAATTTTCGCCCTCATCAACAGCCTCTATTCGCTACTGCTGCCCAAAGGTCTCTTCTCAGATTTTTTATGGCATTAGCCGGTAAACGAGCAGACGGATCACCTGATGGTGAGCAATCGGCGTCGCCTATGGACACCTGGAACATCAGAGGCGTTACAAGTGCGTTACTGACCTTTTGGGGATTAGGAGTTTGAGGATCGTTGGGGATTCAGGAATTGGGGAGATTGGGGAAGGGGAGGGTGATTGGGCCTCCGGTAACCTCACTCACAAAACGCAAGCGTTCCTTCACGTCGGTTTTCTGTGAGGCCGTGGTATCACTCTGGTCGAGCCGGCCCATTCGTGCTGAAGCATGGCTCTCCCACACTTGACCATTCAGATGGAGAAGGTTTGACCATTAAACACCACGCTTGGTAAATGAGGGTTTACGACTCTTGAAAAACCTAAAATAATAAGATAGCTAACCACACAATCTACACATTACTTACTAAAATTAATCTTAAAAAGCGAACGGGTAACCATAGCAGTAACGTTTATCTTTATAATGTACATCGTAAAACCATAATCAAATGCTACCGTAATTAACAATTAGCAAGCAAGACGACACCGCGGTAATTGTTCATATCTCACGGTAACCGTTACTGATGACACGCCCGTTAACATTAACTAGAAGTTAACTACCTGTGTTCATGATATGTGTGGTCTATGGTAATTAAGAAATTACGACCTCGTTTGTTGATCTTGTGTTTGATTCGAGAATACATTTGAAATTAGTTTCGATTCGGCTGCCTTGTTCGAGTACTTATAAGATTGGAGACTCAAACCATTGTCATATTTATTTTTGTATGTATGTACTACTTACGTAACTAAAACTCTTTTAATGCACTCAGCTACTGTCCTGCATAGTCTGTTACACAACAAATAACTACATACGCCAATTAATTTCTAACAGATCAATCAAAAGCGCGCGAATCTAACTGTCACGCAACGTTCTTAATAGGCAAAGGTAATTGTTCATTCGGCCTATAAACACAAATGAGGTTTGAAAGCTAAGGTGTTAATGTATTACCCAACGTTGGGTTAAAACGCCATGGTAACACGTGGCTCAACCAGAGCGTGGGAATTGTAAGGGTTATAATGCAATGTTGCGTTTTTATGTAAAAATGTCTAATGCTTGACATGCTTTGCCTTGCATTATGTGTTTAGATAAATTGCACTTGCAGGGAATTGCAAGAATATTTTAAATTACTAATTTATTCCCGATTTTACTCGACTCCATTCAATTGCCTTCAATTATTATAAATTGGTAAGCGTATGTAGGTAATTATCTGTTCCTAGTCTTGGTTTCAAATATCTGTGCAAGAAAATGGTAGGTAACTACACTACCTACATGAAATGTGTGTTTTTCCTAGAATATCAGAAGTATGCCAATCCAGTTGCTAAAGGTAGACTACAAGCTGTAGATAAAATCGAAGTGAGGCATTTTTCATTCAAAGATTTTATCATATTTTTTCATAAAAACATTATTAAGATGTGTTCATATAGAACTAATGTATGACGATTAGGGTTGCTTGCGAATGATCTAGTTTCTCACGCGACAGTAACTACGGGACGATTGCGAGACGCCATGCGTAGGGGCAACCTTGATGTAGATGACATAGCATTTGTAATTACATTGCGACATTTATTGTTATATTTATTTTAATTTTGTGGGCGTAAGAGCGACTTCTCTACTGACAGTCGTGAGTTCTAAAAACAGTAGGTATAACAGTTGGAGACTCTTTGCTGGACTATAAATTTGCACCAGCAAGGAGTCTGCCAAAGGATTTGTTTTTTTTTTAAGGGGTCAATCATCGTATGACTGCTCGGAGCCTGGGTGAGGCGGGAGGGAGTGTCAGACTCTTACTGACTAAAAACCACCCCGTTCCTTCTCCTGCACGTCGAGCCGGAGCCCCGGTAACCCGTTAGGTTCTCCGCGACCTGTCAAAGGGTTGCCATAAGCTTGGCAGGCGGATTTGAAATCGCAGGCTAAAAGGATCAGGTTTATTTGCCCGGTCTCAGTTAAGATACATATTTAATCTCAAAGTCGGTACTTACGACATTACCGAGAAGAGATAATATTGATAATAAATCCATTGTACTCTATATATTACACTATATTTCCTTCATTTCTACACAATCTTCCGCACACATCATCACATAATTACCTCATAATTATCCAACACCTTTCCAATAATGTCACTTCGCTCGCGTAATACGTGTTCACAACGAAAGTGAGTCGCTATCGCCAGCGGTTACACTTGACCGGTTGCTTTCACCTCATCTCAGTTGATAACCACTATTGTTATTAGCAATTCCTTTCTGTATACTTAGTAGGTACGGTTTGTACAAAGAATAGTGAGAAAATGGAGGTGGTATTATGCAGATTCACAACTCTTTTTGCAGTTAAAAGTGTGGATAATTGAAGTGGATTGTCTTGTTTCTTTCGGTGTTTAGTTTTGCAGCTGTAATAGTCGCTTTCGATTTTTAAAGCTTAAATTGTGTTTTATCGGTGAATTCACTTTTGTTTTTTTTTGTGCAAAGAGATCAATGAACTTGGAATGTTGTCTGAATTCAATGATGGCAAAAATTAAAGCTATAAGGGTAGGTAAAGTAACACGAATATAACTTATCTCTATCTTTTTGATCATAGAAATGAGGTCTGTTTTCTCTTTGATATAGACCCAGTTTTCTGTCACAAAACATCGATCATTATAATTATTATAATTAATCTATCGTGCAAAAATCTCAACGAAAAAGCAGACTACTTAACAATCAATCTCTCAAATTACGCAACGCCACAATTTCCGTGCAGATCACTCGCGAATAGGAAACTAAAGAAATGTCAATTACGAACGTTTACAGACACGCGACCATTTTGTTGTATCTGAGAGAATGTTACAACATGTTGTGTCTGGGGAAATACTCATCAAATGTGAGGCAATGGTGTTGAACGAAAAAAGTGGTTTTCCGTCGTCAAGGTCGTTTATATTTCATAATTTACTTATATTGTGGTTGACTAACTACATTTTCACCATAAACTATGTAATGGTAAACTATGTATATTTTGTAACCTACGTTGGTTCGATATTTACTAAACTATTGTACCTATATTGTCGCGGAGAACCTAACGGGTAACCGGGGCTCCGGCTCGACGTGCAGGAGAAGGAACAGGGTGGTTTTTAGTCAGTAAGAGTCTGACACTCCCTCCCGCCTCACCCTAGGCAGGAGGAGTAAGTCGATGATTTCCCCCCCTTAAAAAAAAATTGTACCTATATTGAGCTATTATATACAACCCTCGATACACTATATTATATACACGAGTAGCTTGCAACTAAAGATTCAGTTGTGTCTTTGGAATGAAGAACTAGGGATTAGGGAGGTACCTACTTCTCATTTGCTTCGTTCTTTTTCGTTTTCTTGATTGCAATCGTTATTAAGACTATTAAGGGGCGAATTTTCAATGCTCAGTTAAATTTTAACTGAAGAATAACTTTCAATATTTGACAATTCTTCCATACTAAAACCTTTTAATTTTATTCTACAGTTAAGAATTATTTAATGATTGAAAAATCGACCCTAAGAGTAGTTTGAACTTCAATAGCAACTGCTATAACCAAGGGTATTGTTTCAATA